CACATAAATTGAAAATATTTAAACACAATACAAATTATAGTAATATAAAAAGCATATTTAGACGTATTACGTATTACTTATTTCATTTTAGAATTAAAAATTACATAATTAAGATTTCAAATTAATCACATATTCACATCGAACATTTTATGAACGATGAACAATGATAAAATATTTTAAAACATGGTAAACAGTTGAAAATACTAAAAGTTTACGGTTAACTTTAATGTGTGCGTAAATTAAAGTATTAATATTGTACACAAAAATACCTAGTATGACATTTTATTTCTTCTATGGTATGACTGTCCCTGTATAAAATAATATCAAAATACAAGTAATACTTATCTGGTATTCGGCATAAAATGATATTCTTGTTTATGTGTTATTGGTTATTTTTATTGTTAACACTGTTATAGTTCTTCGATTATTATTAGTACGAACAAATTACAATATTATCAAAAAATAACCTACCAACTGGTTAGAGGCTACTGTGTATATTGATTAACTGGGGCTTTACAAACTAAAAATTTTATAACACCTTCAAAAAAAAAACTCAAATTGTAAAACTTTGAATCTCGTCAACCGATAATTCAAAAATAAAAACGTTAACGTGGAAATTCATGAAAAAAATAACTTTACAAATTTTTAAAAATGTACACATAGTTTACCATTTGAAAATCAAGAGTGGATCGTAGTTTTACTGACAAAAATAAGGACGAAAATAATAAAGTTGTATTAAAAATGTTAAAATATTTGAAATTTTAATATTCCAAAAAAAAAAAAAAAAAAAATGAAAAAGTTTAATACTTTTTGAAATAATAGTCAGCTGTACGTGTGAATGAATAAATAATGACAATACATTATGGTAAAACATTAAGTATAAACATGATAATAAAAAAATTAGTAAACAAAAGTGCAAGAAACCAAATGAAGAAAACCAAATATTGTTATAAAAAGGTGAAAAATGTATTGCCGTTGATCTAGCGCTAAAGACGAACGAGGGAAGAGTTTTGGAGATAATTGGAAGACAAACATGGAACATTAAAATAAGCGACATTTATAGTCTGACGTATTTGTTCCGCCCATTTTACACTATTATTATTATCGCTTGGTACAAAACATGCAAGCATTGAAAATATCAATTGTTTTTTACAAGTAAAACTGTAATTGTAAACACACATTATAATTTTGAATTAGTTGTTAGCAAAATTTATTTTACATACTTACCAAGGCACTTGTATTCATATATTTTTAAAATTAAATTAAATATTTACATATGTGTTAAATATTTGTATTTTTTTCTTAATATGATTTCCCAAAATACTTACCTTAAAGTTACTGTCAATTTTTCGTCAGGGGGTTTTAGTTAGGGTATCGTAAAATGGGGTAACTTTGATAATTTGTCTTAGTTTTTTTTTTAATCATGCTTTGTTAATCTGATATTAAAAAAATAAACTTTTAATTTAATAATTTATTATGTTAAATTATATAATTTCTTTGTTTAAACTAAAAAAAAAAAAAAATGTTTGATAATTTTTTCCCGCTCATTTTAATTATTTAATGTAATTATCAATGTTCTCCACCATATGGATAACTTTGATACCCCCTATTTGATTACATTAAATCATATATTATGATAGTATAACTATCAATGATGCCTCAAAAAAAAATTTTTGACTTTTATTTTTTGAGGTATTTTGATATTACATAAGTGAAGTAACATTGATAGAAGTAAATATAAATCAACTTTTATCTTTTTATTATATTTATTTAAATAAAATAAATTAGAATACAAACTACAACAATAACAATTTAATAATAATAATAATAATAATAATAACAATTTAATAACGATAACCATAAATAATATTCTTTTTCAGTCTTGTTATTACTGTTAGACTTATTTAATTTAATTTTTTATTGTATTCTAATTTAAGCTTACCATACATCAACTTTAATCTTTATATTATAATATTTGAATAAAACAAATTACAATAAAAATAAAAATAATAACAAAAACAATTTAATAATAATTATAATAATAACAATTTAATAATAATAATCATAAATTATAATCTTTTTCAGTCTTGTCATTATTGTCAGACTATTTTATTGGCCACATTTCATGGCTACTGTTAGAAAGACCATTTCATCTTGATCAGTAAATACAATAGGAGTTCCAGGTCGATTAACATGCTTCTCGTTATAACGATTGTGTGAAGTCTCATAAGAAATTTTATACAATTTGCTATCTGCTAAGATTGATATTTCACTATCAGCTATTTTTGTTAATGCTTCCTCCAGTTTATTTTCGTCATAATTTTTATATGGCCGACTATCAGCCTTCCGTTTTGGGTTGCGAATCACTTATAAAAAAAAAAATAGAAAGTATCAAAGTTACCCCACAATGACTATCAAAGTTACCACACATTAAAAAAAAGTTTATAACGCAACCATTTCAAAATAAAATTTAATACACAATAATGTATTTGAATGTATATGTAATTAACAATTTATTGATGTATGTAAAGTTATGGTCTTTATAAATGTACTTACTTTGCGCAGATCTTGATTTTTTGCTAACAACATTTGTTTTTACAAACCCGTTAAATAACAATTAATAACAAACAAATATTGATTACAATGTCTTATCTAAAACTAATTTTTGACAGTTGACCTTTTGCACTACACGAAAAAATATGAAAAATGATAATTCATATACATTATCATCTGTTTACATTGATGTTTAGATAAAAAATACAAATTATCAAAGTTACCTCATTTTACGGTACTTGCATAGTTTGTTCCATTGTAAGATCTTGTTTGACCAATGGTTAAATAAAATAAAATTGTTCTTTATCTTTATGGAAGAATTCTTGAAATTTAATTTCATTATTAAAAAGATTTACTTCGATCAATTTATTAAAAAAACCTTTGCTTTTCTCGAAAATACTATACGGTTGAATGCATTTCTCTGTTGTGCTCTAATTCTTAGAAGTAATTCTTCTTTACATTCTGATTCTTCTCTGAACATTACGCAAAATTACACAAATAATAATATTATTATTCAAAATTAACTATAGTTGCATCAAAAAGGTTTTTGAAAATTAAATAAAAAAAAAAACCAACGTGTGTACTAGATCAGAGTTGCAAGCACCACGCAAAATGATTAATACGATATTGAGTCTTCGTGAGAAATCCTTAATTTTTTGTTATGAAGAGATTTCATAAATAAATATGTTTTCCTTTGTAATTTAAATAACACATAAATTACTATATAGCCGGAACTATATGAGCTGCATATCATCGATCTTTTAAATGTCGATGATATAATTAAATTACATTTGTAGTCTATAGAAAGGGCGTACCCAAGGGGAGGTTTTCGGGTCCGGAACCTCCATTGAAATTTCTACATACTCAACGATTTAATATTAAATAGTATAATAATAGTATATAATGTATTTTAATTTCCCATTATCTTTAATATACAAAGTGTATAGATTACATTTTATACCTATAATGTATAAACCATACTATAGTGTATTAACAGTAATTTGTTGATATTGAGTTAAACTATATTTATAATTAGAGAACAGATTATATAAAAAAATGAGGAACCCCCCCACCACCCTATAAAAAATTCCTGGGTACGCTTTTGGTCCATAGCTTCTCATTATCCACATTTCAGCCAACATTTTAGAAGTAAACGTGTTAGAACCAATGTATGTTTCTAAATTGTGATCAGTAAATTTGTAAATTGTTTGATATTCAGGTGCGACGGGCATTAAATCTGCAAAAGCATTCGATACTTCGGTTTAGGGAAGAAAATCCAGAACAAAAAAATATATTGGAGCTATTGTACGATATTATTATTATTTTTTTTCTAATCTCATTTTGTCCTATTTGTTGTCCACCGATACCGTCGTATTTTCGATGGATAACATTAAAAATAAATTAACCATTTGGTTATACCGCAGTTGACGTGAATTATAAAAATTATCATATTTCTCCGTGCCGTTCGCCGTCGGATAAGGCGCATAAAAATTATTAGACGTGGGCCGAAACTATACCCGATTTTCGGACACGAGCAACTGATGGAAAAACCAAAGTCCGATACGATTAAAAATCAACTTTAGGCATACAGGTACGGTTGGGTACAGATCGAAATTTGAATTTGACGCGTCGTCGCGTTACGTCTAACACCGTAATGTTGGTCAGCCCGGCGACGCAAATGAACTTTTGTACCCCGGGAAGAGGGGGCGATATCACCGTCGTCGTATTCGTCGTTCTCCGTGTGCGCTGCGCGTTGTCGCCGAACCGGTGTGCCATTAGTGTCGCCATTTTTTTTTTTCCGAACAACGTACTCCCAAAAGCCACCCGCGCGTGTCTTTTCACCCGTTCAATACAATCGTAGTGTAAACGCGTCGGTAGTGTTTTTTTTTTTCCTGTGTCATATTTTGTTTAACCTTTTTCGACCGTCCGATTTAATCGCTGTGCGACTCGAGTCCCGGCTCATTCTGTGTCGAAAGTTTTGTTCCGCTCGTCGTCGTGCGCAATGCGAACGCCTACCGCGGTGTACTTGTCGTCGTCTGGGCCGCGTATTCCACGCCACGACTATATAAGCGCCGATGACTCGCAGTCAGTGACGCCCACAGAAATGTAGCTCAGGGGGAGTAAAAATAATTGTAAGTAAAAAACTATGGTCCCTAACTAACATTTCCCACTAAATCTTTCATATGCTAATATTTTGTAATACTATCATTAATAATGTTCTGAAAATCTAAACTAATTCTAGTTGATATAAAATTGCATTATTAGTTCAAATACGTTTATGAAGGAGCGTAATAAAGTTTAAACATAAAACAACTTTATTTGATCGAATTTACTTGATATTTAATTATTTTATTCCAAAAGTAATGAGAATCACCTTTTGTCAGAAGCAAATAAATTGATTGAATCATCAATTTGTTGATTAAACATTTAATCATGCCTTTGGCGGTGTAAATTAATTAACCCAAAGCTACTCCTCGATCGTTCGTTTCCCATCCTATTTCTAATCCATGTCTTTAAACGGCGTAAAGTGCTGAAAAATAATAAAAAAGAGTTATTGTTAAATATTAATTTATATACTGAATAAAATTTGTAAATTGTTGTAAATTACATGAAAAATCTCGGGGAGGAGGGGGGGCGATAGCCTCTCCGGGCGTCTCTGTTCGCAGCCGTAAGTGCCATACTGACCACGAGTCCGCGACTTTGGTCATTTTGGTGCGTAATTTGCAACTTCCCGGTTGACCTGGTCCGCTTATGACAGGTGTCCTTGGCTCGGTCTATTTTGGGACCACTCGTCGTCTCGATTCCGGTATTGTTCGTTCTACCACTTACCGTACCATCATCCCGGGACGCCGATAATGAACAGCCGTCATCCAATCGTCGAAACAGGTCGTATACACGTATCGTGTTACGATGTTTTCTTACCCGCTGTGGTCGGAGTCGCGTTCAACGGAGAGCAAAGGAGCGAATTTCCCCGGGGCTGAAAATGTTTGAGAATCAACATAAAATAAAATAATATAGAATTATAATTTTTCTTGTTTGAATGTATACCATGAAATATAATGCATATTATTTCGTTCATAAATACCACGAAAAATCCGCAGTCGACCGCTGCATGCTACAAAGCGATAAGAATTAAAAACTTGTGCTGTAATCGTATAACCTATTTTCGTTATTCCTGTACGTTTTTTTCCTCGAAAATAGTCAGTTACAAGTATATCGTTGTATTTAATCTCGGCAAATTGCACCGTTAGGTGTGTTAAACATATTTTCAGTGTGATAATTTTATTTTTTGACAGTTAAAATATTATTTTTCTTAAGGGCGACATATTTTAATTTACCCCGGGGCGGTAACATAGCTTAACGCTGCACTGGTGGTCGTGGTACATGAATGCATTTTAAATTATTTATTTGATTTATTTGGTCGATCGTCTTTGATCGTGTATTTACCATCTACTAACCATAACATTAAGAACCTCCATGTAGCACATTAGAAATATATATTGTTTTTTTATTGTGTATATCAATAACATTGTTTTTTTACATTCGGGTATTTCGTACTCATAACCAGTATATGCATTAATTTAGGATTTTAATCAGTTTTGACCATCACACAGTCAACTCTCTCCTTATCTTTCTCTCTTATCGAGTTATCGGTACGACGGGTATATCACGCGCGACGGGTTGCGTGTTAGCCGCCGTCTGGGCGTGCGCAGTCACACACAAGTACACTCGTCCGCCGGCTTTACGTATGCAGCCGATTATCGCACAGGTACCATCAACCGTTAATAAGATTAAATCGATATCAGTATATCAGTATATGATTATAGCTAAAATGTGGATAACTAAACAGGTAGACTTAGTAATTTTTTTGAAGTACTAACTTACTATCTTACACTCTTAACTCTAGATCCTCCATCCATTTCACTTCATTCGCCTCTGTTTTATGCAGTTTCTCCAGGTCTCCAACAAAATATGTGTTTGTAGACAATTATCAAATGGCGTATCGTTTGATGCATTCCGCATTCACAGAGGGGGGGGAGGGATTTTGTCTTCTTTTTCGATTACCTATCATTAAAAACGCGAACTATACACTGTGGTAACCGAATGATTTTCGTAGGTACTGTACTCAACTAGAAAACTGAGAGAAATATGGATATAACTGAGAAAAAACTTCGAGTGTAGGTTACCTTCAGTTCAGCAGTTCAGATAACTGTACAATTTATACTCAGTTATTTACACAGATAAAATGCACAATTAAACTGATCGTGTGCGGGGCCCTTAATATAACCGAGACCGATATTATTGGTATTAATATTTTATGTTGGTGATTTTTTTTTTTTTTTGTGGTATCGATTTAAATATAGGTTTTGATAAAAATAAACCTCTACCACATATCAGTTTTAGAATCGACTCACTCATAGTTAAAATCTCTGGCATTAATTTATAGTTAAATAACATAATTTCTACTCCATCGATGTTATGGTCTACGCTTAAATTATTTCACTGGGTTTTAAGACAAGTTATCGTAATGAACCAAATGCTGTTTTAGGGTATAGCTACAACATATTATATAGCTTACAAAACGTTTTGGAAGGAATTTCGATATATACGTTAACTATTATCGAAAATGAATTACTTCCAGGAAAAATACATACATAACAACATTTTCCGAAAATCTATTAACATGGTATTTAAAAATCGATTATTCAATGAGCTTATATTTTACGGAGAATCTAAAAACTATCACTTTCATCTTATTTTTTATTTTAAAGATAAACAGAAATCGCAATCATTGAGATTGGCTACACTGAAATATTGTTAATGAAATTTAGTAAAAAAATTAATATTAGTTATTGTCTGTTGGTCAAGTGAGGTCGTGTTGAAATAAATTACACGAATGATAGGACTCAAATTTATAAGGAAAAAAAAATTAACTTATAAAATTACTTTAATTGCACCTTCGCATTAAAACCCGTCATATGATAAATTTTAAGAAAGAAAAAAGTCCGTAACGTAAATGGTAAGTTTTTAAGTCCAATGTAAAATGCATACTTGTTTAGAAAACTTTTACTGATATCTAAAATCGTCAAACAACAATATGAACATCGTACGAAATATAAATATTAAAATATAAAATAAGGAGATAAACTATTTTTCTGATTCAAAATTACTGTGCTTAAACATCACATAAATTATTGTTCTAAATGTGAATTTATAGGTTAAGTCATATACTATATTTAATACAACGTCAATTGGAGTTATTTCTAATCTGATATTTGAAATTTAATATATAGTAAATGTGAAAGAGTACATTTTTTGTTAAAACATATACAAAGCATAAGGTAAGGTGTACAATGTGCATGCAGTATACTCGTATATGACTGCTACATTTATTCGATAATTTATTGAACAAAATAAATATTATATTTATGTACGAAATATAGTTTGTAATGTTATATAAACTTCAAACAGATATTTAGACACGGAAAAAAAAATATAGAACTGCAAAGTGAATACAAAAAAAAAAAAAATTAACATTAACATATTTCCATCCAGACAATTACTAATAGAAAAGTATATTACTTTCCAGAGTCTTTCTTGGAAAATAATAATAATGCTACGAACATACATGACAGTTAATTATCAGGTTTTATTAAAATATTTGAATGAAATATTTTTTTTTACTTTAAATTAAGTCTGTGTCCGTGTAAAACTTTAGTTCAATTAAGTTATGGGGATTTTCCGATTTAAATAAATCTGTACTCTATTTATAATAATACAAACATAGTTTATTAGCTATATTTAAATTTATGGTAGATACCCAAACTCATCAAAAGATCTCGGAATTTGTAGGAGTTGCATATTTTTCTATATACTCTCAATTTATAGCACACCAAGCTAGAAATTCGTTCCATACAAAAACGAGTTTAAATACAAAAATTAAAAATGCATTTTTTCGCATATTTTGGCAATTTTAGAAAAAAAGTGCATATTTCTTTATAACACTAAGGTGAACACTATATAATATTATCGACGTTACCGTTAATCTAATAGCAATATGTCAAGTTTATTATTAATACTAACATTATATACAATTATACCTTAACCATAACTTCATCAGATGTTGAAAGAAGTTTTTCGCGTTAGAAAAATATATTTTCAGAAAATCGTCATTTGTTTGATATGGAAAATATAAAGAAAGTTCTGATTGTCCAATGCAATAAATTTACAGGTATGACAGTAATAATAATCTATATGTTTATTGAATTAATAACAAATAAATATAATTTTTCAAATAACTTTCATTCTGTTTTTTTTTAGATTAAAAAAATTACAATCCATAAAAATCACCCTAAACATTTTATATTTAATTAAAACAAAAAAAAAATTGTTTTGTATACTTAATACATTTTTTTTATATTTAATAAGAAAAATGTTACATATTAATTAAATTTTTTTTGCATATTTAACATTTTTTTATTCATATTTTACAATTTTTTTCGTGCATATTTCCATGCATATTTTGCCTTTTTTAACTCCGACAACTTCCGCGCCCTACTCATCAAACACCAAACGGAACGGTTTAGAAATGTTAGAAATCTCGTATTCGAATACGAAACTATTATAAAGTATTTTTTATTACCATAACATTATACACAGTTGCACACTTTATACACTATTACAACACATTTTGATGTAGGTACTTAATAAAAATGTTTGAAAGTTAAAAATAAACTGTGAAACTGGGGGAGCTGTTTTTACAATATTTCCTCTACACGTGTGTTGTACTATTATAGACATATATATGTTAGGTAAGTTTTATTATGTGACTATGATCTCAACATATGTATTGCGACCCCCCGGAGAACCCCAGTACAATTTTTGGGGATTTCTATAACAAATCGTAACTACGTATTGTAATTAATATGTTGTTTTCATTTTCTACATCAAGCCTAATCTCAATCGTGTCTAAATCTAACGGTAACATAAAAAAATGTATGATACTTCAATTTTTGTTTCCACAAAAATATAGGAGTACAATTCATAATAATTTTGTAACCTAAATTATAGTTTGTTTTAAAATATCGGTAACATTATTTAGCGAAAATAATAATTGCTTCGAAATTTATAGGTGCCTATTATTATAATTATGGTTTATTTGTTTAACCATGTTTTATAATAATTTTTCATTAATTTGGTTTCGGGGGTCACATAAAATTAGCATGAAATAATGATGATGGTCGCTACGTCGAAAAAGCGAAGAATCATCGGTGTATATCGTATAATAAACGCACTAAATATTTATTTGAATAAATTACTGTTTGTAAGAACAAAAATAAAAAATATGAGAAAACACGAGTTGATTTTCGAACAGTTTATCGAAAATAAAATAGGTAATTAAAAAAATCCATAAGTATTACGGAGAAATTCGAAGTTCGATCCATCATTTGAACGGACGAGGAAAACCGACATTATACATTTCAAAGGAAAATTAATCCATTGCGAACGGGTATACGTATGTGCGATGACCATACCCAGAACATAATACACCTGTACACGGTTTATTAATAGGTATATTATGCGCTGCACGCGCGGCGTTATTGTTCGTAAAACGGTCAACCTCCTCGGCACAAGACGGGGCGCGATGGCATTACGATGGAATTTGCAATTTACACGGAACATTAATCTTGTCATCAATACAAGCATTGTCGTTTGAACTGTGATTATGAGATTTTTCGAAAAATAATAAACACTGCCGGCCGCCGGTGACCGGCTATTGTGCGCAAAAATAAGCCGACGGCATGCGCTCCCCGCGGCCGGTCCACAATACAATTCCCGCGTGTGCCTACCCGTCGTAACGCGTTTATTAAACGTCTTTTATAGCTTACCAGCACACGTCGCGTACCGTACGTATCGTCGCGTTATTAAAAGCGTAGTACGCTTTTAGCTATATTACACTGCACTCGTATTGTTATA